TAACTTTTTTTGGTATCACGTAGAATACTCTCTTAACCCAATGTCTACTCTAACTACATTTAACTTAGTTTCTGCCCAATTAACTACATACTCAGCTCGAATTCAACTCATATCTCCCAGGACGCCACTAGCTAATATTCCAGCAAGCATTCGCTGCTCTTTGTTATGCTTATTCATTTAACATGCTTTTTTCGACTTCTTCCTCTCTCTCTCCCTCGCCCCTACCCTTGTATTCTATGTTGTTTTCCCAACTACCAACTACAGCTGCTACAATTTGGCTTTTTTGCACTATGCTAGTTGGTAGTACAGAGTTCGGCTGCTATAAATAAAAGTTGTGATATTTCATATTTTACCCTCAATTTGATGCTGCTTGGTTGTCTGGCTGACTGCCTGACTGGGCAGACTAGGCGGCCGGCTGACTCGCTGCAACTCATGCCGCGGCTAATACATATATTCGCAAGCTCCCCTTTGCTGCCTGCATTGCTTTCATCATTTTCCTCATCATTTGCAAAGTTCAAGCTTTCATTTTCACTTGACGCGCGCCCAATTGGCGCGTTCTCTCCCTGCTCGACACACATAATTTAATTTTGTCAAACAAGAAAGAAGTTTTCATATTTTCATGTTGTACTCGTATTTTTGCCAACGTTTTTGTTTTTATTGTTATTCATGTTGCTGGATGAGTCGCTTTTCGGTAGTTATTGCTTGTGTTGTATAGTTGTAAGTTGTTCTTGTTATGAGATGGCAATGTTGTTTTTTTTTTTCATTACATAATTATGCAAGCTGCGCCCCCCCCCCCCCCCNCTTGCACTCATCATGTTACCAAAAATAATTATCAAAAACTTTTTCTCAACTAATTGTTCTTACCCGTGCATAACTTTTCCTCTCTTCTCCAGCCGAATGTTTCAGTGTTGTTTTAGTGAGCACTTTTTGCGCCAAATTTAGATTTCACTTTGTTCTTTTGTTACAACACTTTTTTGATGGGATAATTATGTTCCTTATGCTTGTGTCATAATTTGTGCTTTGACTTTGGAGAGGCTGTAATCTAATTGGCAGCGCTATGAATAGAAGGGTTAAAATTGGGATTTTAAAGGGGAGCGCATGTTTAGGAATTACGTCAGCTATTTATAAGATTAAGCGAGAGATCAATTAATTAAGGTGGATTGAAGTTTCAAGCGGGTTTAAAAGTTAGCAATATCAAAAAGTGTTAAAAAACAAGAATAACTAAATCAGTTCGTTTATGCTTACACCTTTAAAATACTCTTACTACAAACTGCATATACACTTGCGCTTTGCATATATACTTTGATATAAAAAAATATAACAAAATACAATAGTTTTTAGTTCAAAAAAAAATATACCCAAATAAAAAATAAAAATTATCTTTTCAATGCCATGAAATATGTGGCAATCTTAATGAAGGATGTTAATCTTAAAATCACCGTTAATATCGAGATATCTGAACGTTGAGTAAAATAAAAAACAATGCTTTTTAGTTGAGTAAATATAAAGAGCTTAAATAAAGTGGCAACCCTGTAAATTTTTTTATTGATGAGAACTTCTCTCAACACCTCTCTTTTACTACTCTACGGCAGCGATGGGCAGATGCTCTACTCAAGTAATAGGCAGAAACAGCTTTTAACCTAAAAACGTCTATACTAGCGATGACAGAGAGCTTTTACTTAGATCGCATCCATACCAAATTTATAGAAAGGTTTTAAAGGCTTCTCCCGGGGGAAATGCTTCGGTCGCAATTGATCTTTAAAACATACTCCTACATAAAAGCTTTAAATTAATAATATAATACTAATAATAGATTGGTGCTTACATATATGTTAGTGTTTGGCCGAGCTTCTCCTCCGATTTGTGGTGTGCGCTTTGATGTTGTCACATAAAGCGGAGGGACCTACAGTTCTACGCCAACTCCGAACGGCGATTGTATTCTTATGAGAATGGCAGAATACACATACAAAGTGAAAAACATGATTTAATATTTCAAATTTCCAAGCTATATCTGAGTTTTCTTTAAAGACATATCAAAAACGGCAATAGAACCTTCTTGTTCAGGTATTTAGGCGATACAAAGTGATTTTTAGTTTTCTTTTACTGTGGTTCTAAGTATTTTATTTTATTTTTTAGCGTAAGCGTAAAAATAGGGGGTTTTTGGCTGTATACGTTGACATATAGTTGAGAAGTAGGTGCGATCAAGCAAAAGTGTAAGAATTTACATATGTATACCTTGGACGTTATAGTGTCATTCTGTTAAAAATAAGTTCCGGCATGTTTTAACCGGCTTCCAAAAAAAGGAGGAGGTTATCAGTTTGTCTAAATATTATTTTTTTTTTATGTATGTTACCGCATAACTGTCTACCGATTTCAATAATTCTTTTTGCATCTGAAAGGCAGTGTCACAGAGGTGGTCCCATACTAATCTGGTATAAATCCGCTTATTGGATCATGAAATATATATATATATATATTTAAGTCGGTTTTTTTGCTAAAAATTACTTGTTCAGCTTATCGATTTATATAATATAACCTCGTTGGTGAAATATACACGATATTCTCGATGAAGAACAAAACCAAACATAACAAGTGAAAACTAAGTACAAATCACACAAGAAAGTAATATTGTTACTCTCCACGATCGCTGATTGCTCAATTACTGTTTTTTTATACCCTACATACGGCATAACTATTAGGTACATACGTATATTATCAAAAGTATGCTAAATACTGTTTGGTTGCAAAGCGAAACTTTTAGTACTTGCACGTATCAAAGAAAGTATGTATACATTTATGTGCATATCTGCTCAGACTTATAAAATAAAATTTGGGCTTATTAAATTTTACAATAATAGCTTAGAATTATGTAATTTACTTGTCCAATGATTTATAGGGTATATGTGACACAGTATAGAATGGTACATATTGCATATTTTTAATGTTAATTATTATTTATTGCTATTTCTATGCATGAACATCATGTGCAGTGAATAGAAATAATGATAGTGATGATATTTTTAACTAATGGGGAAACGGAGACTTTAAAGGCCTAATTATATGATTATTTTCTTTATAAGAACGAGCTCAAATATCATTTGGGTTACTCGTCAAAGCCTTTATGAAATAATGAAAAACTTTGGCTGCGATCTATTCAATGATAGATTTAAAGTTTTAACGGGACAAATAAGAGATCGCATCAGGCCATCTGATGAAAATTTAAAAGAATTTAATGAAAAGATATTTGTCCTGTAGTCACGAAGAACGTTTTTTCAAAGCAAATAAAAGTTGGATTGAGTCCTCTACAGGTTTTCCGTGTTCAGAAATAATAAACGTCAATTGTCAGAGGAAGCTCTAGAGGCACGAAAAATATTTTAAGAGCTACAGCGAACATTTTTCTGGCAAGTGCAACAGAAAAAAAAACGAATGAAGATATATTCAATAGACTTTTGATTAGTTCCGACCCTGTTGTATCAAGTATGAGAAAACTACCAGAAAAAAATTACAGGATTTGCCGTAAGAAGCACAACAGCTGCTAATTATGAAGCCTCATAGCGGTGATGAAAATGTTGATATTGATGACAATGACGCAAGCGAAGACGGTGATTATTTTGATTAAAGATTATATATTCTAAATTACTTTCTAGGCTTAACAAAAACACGTAGATAATTGTTGATGAGAAAATTTGTATAATTCGTATTCGTTTACCATATAAAAAATTACCTAAAAAAGTGATGTTGTAGGTGATGTTAATGATGAAAATTGTAATGAAGATAATGATGAAGATAATTATTATAATGATAGAAGTGGTGTATAACTTGTAATAAATGATGATTAGGATTTTTGACAAATTATCATTAATAATAAATATTATTTATGGGAGAAACAACTAAATTTTAACTTTTCTGGCTCTTTGGTAACGCCATAAAAACCTACATAAAAAAAAAAATCCCACTAAACTATTTTTGGATTTGTCTTCTTTTTACTTCATTTGGTGCTAGTTATACAAATACGTCAAAATATTTTACATTAAATGTACGTATGAATTGATTTCCACTTTCAGGATCGATTAACCCACTGTGTGACGCCAAGGATTAATCTCTTTACTAGAACGAATACAGTTTTAAGCCCCATCACTTAGATCTCCTTTCACTGCGGCGACTTAACTCTCATTCGTTCAAAAAAAAACTTGAATTAACTGCCGAACCTAGGGTCAACTCGCTACTATGGAAACGGCTCGCAAGGGCATAAGTTCTTAGCTGTCGGAAGAAGACGGTAAGGCCTGTGGTGAACACACCTCGTCCCATGTTTTATGTTACGTTGGTTGATTGCCTATACCAATCTCTTGCCATGTATGCCCATAAGGCAATGTCCGGGTAATAATAATAATTATTATGTTATTTTGGCGCTGTTATCGACCCCATGTCCTGCAGATTGGTAGTACGCACCTCTAATTACTTAGCCACAGTATCTGGCGATTACCCTGACTATTAATCTTAGAGATGAGCGGCCATGCAGAGTCAGAGCTTCAGCTCGCTTTACACCAACTTTCGCCAAATTTGGTTATTAGTCAGGCGGGTGGTTTCCATGGCCCACCTGGTTTTACCTTACCGATGAGTTTGCTATACTTAATTAGCTACGGAAGGAAATATCCTTCATTTTCCCAGGCAACTCGTCGGCCGTGCAGTTGCCGGGCATTCTCTTGTGTCCACGAGCCCAGACAACAATCACCGAGCATTTAGACGCAAATAGGTTGAGAAACCATCTGCATACTATCCCTGACTTGGACGCTATTACGTTGGATTTTAGAGACTTAATGGCGTTAAGCCATTGTTGAATTAATTTCTGAAGTCAAGTGCGAATTATAAAAACCTTGGATGAGTTTCTGTATGTTGTGAGATATATATCTTGATATGAAATGTGTATTTTCCATACATCCTATGCAGCCAAGAGTGACTAATGTTCGTCCATTCTTCTTTGCCCTCTATTTGTAGATGCCTTAACATGGGCTGCTCCTCCGAAGCTGCCAGAACGAGGACACAACGCAGCAGCATCAACGGCTATTATAAACACAAGAACAACACCAACAATAGCACAATCAGTTACAGTAATAGTAACTGCAATTGCAACAACACAAACAACAACTGTTGTGACAACTATAAAAGCAGCAGCGACAGCAATAGTTTGCGTTTATTGAGTGCAGAGGTGATCTGTCAAAGCACAGTTGACAGCGACGAGGAGCCAACAATTTCAAAAGAAAATAACTGCCAGCGACAGACAGACACAACGACAGTTACAACAGTCATAGAAAATACACAAAAGCAGCAAAGGGAAAGAGAACTAAAAGTCGAAGGCGCTAAAGCGGAAGACACTGAAAAGCTGCGACAAATTGAGTACAGCCAAAGTGAGAGCGTCGAGGCGGAAGTGGTTGGTGTTGCGGTTGAAGGATTGCTGTGTACTGTAGGCGGACGCCATTGCGAATTGTATGCCACTTGTGTAAATTGTTGCCCAAGTGAATTTGATATTAACGCGCAACACAACAGCAGCAGCAACGACAAGGAAAGTTGTTACGCAAACTTTCGTCACCGCACGGCAAGCGGAAGAAATAATTGTTGCCACCGACAGTTGCCGCAAGAACTGCCGCACACGCGCGACGAGTTGCCACCTCAAGCGAGGCAAGAATACGAACCAGAGAAACCAAGAGAAAATGAAACGTGGCGCGCGGCATACGGTAGCTTGGCGCTGCGGAGGGAAATGGAGACGAGCGCGCGTCCGCTTGCGCCAGCCACCGCCCTGGCGCGCACAAGCTGCTATGAGCTGCTGCATTATGCGCGCAGCGCCCTAACCGAGCGGCTGGCTGGACTGCGATATAGTTTGAGCAAAGCGAGGGACCAATGCGCGGGGGAAGAGCCGATGGAGAGCGCTGGCACATGGTCACAGGGATTGAGCCATGAGCGACGCCGGCGACACAGCCAGCCGGCGCTGCTGCAGAGGCTTGATGAGGGCAAGCGCCAGTCGCTGCAGATGGCATATAAGCGTGAGCGCCAACAGGCGCGAGTGCGGCGCGACGAGCAGCCGCAACAACAGCGTCAAAAGCAACGAATTGATGTAGTGCAAACTGCAAAATGCTGCCGCCAGCAGCAGCAGCGCGTTGAGCAGCAGGAGCTGCCAAACACTTTGGGGCAGCAAAGGAATGCGTTGACATACTGCCACCACCACCACCAACAACAAATCGAAGAACAGCAACAACACCACAGCCACCACCAACAGCAACCGCAGGAGCAACAACAACAACAACATCAACATCAAACAATGTCCGTCAATAAGAAGAAACAAAAACAACTCAAAGCGTCACAATTACAACAACACCATTCCCCACAAAAACTTCAACAGCAACAAGAACCGCAACAGCCGCAAAAGTCACAAAAAAAGCCACAACAACCGCAAAAATACCAGCAACAACAGCAGCGACATCGCTTGCGACGCGGCGTTCAGACAGTTGCGGCTGCCGCTTATGGTGCCTTTAGCTACATCGGTCACAACTACTATCATCTGCTGGGCAATTCCTTGAGCTTTTATGCCGCTTCGAGTGTTATTTTGGTGCTCTGCTATTTGACTACAACAACAGCGGCGGCACACTCGCCCGACAAGGCGCCGTTCGATAAGCATCCTATGTAAGTAGATGACTGGGAGAAGGGGGTGGGGGTGTTGAGTGTGAAAACGCAAACCAGAGTAGGAGTGTGATAAATTGTAAGAAAACATCATATCTCTTTAGTAGGCATAGACAGCACAATGGACTTGAAGCGTTGCACAGAAAGTTAATAAAGCAAACACACACACATACATACATATACATACGCACATTAAACAAGCGCACACATGAACACCTAGAACTAGCTAGCGAAAAGCACAGCAAAACACGTTGGTAGTCTTTTTGATATCCATACTTCGAAATTTATTTTACTTGTGTCTACTTTTTAAACGCCTAATTGTGCACTACATACATACATACACTCTCCACTACTCCACTCTATTTCAAGGCATTCGAAATCGCGATAGAGCGTTAATAGATTTTCCCTTATTTCTTACTTAGCATATTATTTATACTCTCCTAAACCGATTCGGCTTAAGTGTATCCTTTTATTTTTACACTATTTTCAATATAAAAGTTTAGCTAAATTTTTTTCAAATTTAATTGGTTTATAAAATTTTGTTATATACTCCTTTTTCTTTGATTTTTTCTTTCTTTCAGTCAAGGCATCGATTGGTCAAAGTAAGTGCGCTCATTAAAAGCAAATTATTCAAAAATTAACACGCTTAAAAATTTCCAAATTTTATTTTAATGAAATTAATAAACCAAAACTTAGCCAAATTACATAAATACAATAAAAAATATAAAGCTTTGATAAAACCAGTCGCGCTCAGCTTACTGCCTACTAAACAAAAAGCCTCTTAAACCAAATTTTTAATTCCTGTTCAAATTTGTGCATTAAAGCAAAGTTAGCGAAGACGAACTACACTTAAAACAGTTTGCATGTCATTTCTTTAATTAAAGATTTTATTTGTCTATTGTTGTTTCAAAGTGCTTCATACATTAAAAATTATAACAATACAAAAGTCAATACATGCATACATCTGAGCTATTTAAAAATTGAGATTTTTTTAAGTTTACATGATGTTTAGATATACATAGCTTTCAATTAGTTTGCGTCCCAACCAAACAAAAAAACACAAAAGCGATACCTCAAGCAAATCATTGAGAGTCAACAATTCTCTCAATTAATATACGATATTTCAAAATATTATTGTTGGTTTATAAANTAGTTGCATGTCATTTCTTTAATTAAAGATTTTATTTGTCTATTGTTGTTTCAAAGTGCTTCATACATTAAAAATTATAACAATACAAAAAAAAATTGAGATTTTTTTAAGTTTACATGATGTTTAGATATACATAGCTTNAACCAAATTTTTAATTCCTGTTCAAATTTGTGCATTAAAGCAAAGTTAGCGAAGACGAACTACACTTAAAACAGTTTGCATGTCATTTCTTTAATTAAAGATTTTATTTGTCTATTGTTGTTTCAAAGTGCTTCATACATTAAAAATTATAACAATACAAAAGTCAATACATGCATACATCTGAGCTATTTAAAAATTGAGATTTTTTTAAGTTTACATGATGTTTAGATATACATAGCTTTCAATTAGTTTGCGTCCCAACCAAACAAAAAAACACAAAAGCGATACCTCAAGCAAATCATTGAGAGTCAACAATTCTCTCAATTAATATACGATATTTCAAAATATTATTGTTGGTTTATAAAATTTTTACAAAATTTTCGTACAAAACAATGCGCTTTACACCCTTTTTTATTTTTTTTTTTATCAAAGAATACAGAAATAATCAAGAAATTACCCAAAACTTACTGGATAAATTTCGAGAAGTTTCGGAAGCCTACTGATTAGAAGCAAGCCTCTGAAAGTTGCGAAAATCATCCCTAACAATAGAACAATTTCGAAAAAGTCTCAAAAAGTCACAAAAGTCCAGAAAAATATCATGAAAATTGCGGTAAATCCCACAAAAGAAAACACGCCAAAATCTCGAAAAATCCGAACAATTCAGAAGCTTTCAAAAAAATCCCTAAAGATTCCGAAGATTGCCGAAGGTTTCCGACAAAGTCCAGACAAATCGGAAAAACTATGAAGGGCAACGAAAAATACCTGGAAACCTCAAATCATCTCCAAAAGATCGCAAAAAGGCCACAATATCCTGAAAAAATATCAAAAAATCCCCAATAATCCGGAAAAGTTTGATAAGGGCTTTGAAAAACCCAAAAGAATCCATCATATCCTAGGTTAGGTTAAGTTCAAGTTAGATGGCAGCCCCGTGTAACCGGGGTTCACTTAGACAATTAGAACATGCTCCTTTGTGATACCAAAAAAATTATCAAAATACTCCCGAAAATAGCGAAGAGTTCCCTAAAGGCCTAAAAATATCTAACCAAAAGTCTCGAAAAAACTCAAAGGGTTCGAAAGAAACGAAAGTCCCAAAAAAGTCTTCTAGAGACGAGTAGGAAACTCCGAAAACGTCGAGAAATTTTGCCTTATATGTCGTCTTGCCTAAGAAATTTAAATTCAAAAATATGAGGCATTTCCCGCGAAATAGTACGAGTCAGGTGTTTCACAAGTTACGGTAAAGTCTCGGATCTCATAAATTGTATAATGATTAGAAATACGTTAGGGGGTTTCGGAAAATATCATGTGACGAGTTAACTCACCTTTGGCAGTTAATTAAAGATTTTCAGTTCAGAAATGAAAAATTAAGGGCCGTATGTAAGTTAACTCTCCACTGTTCAAACAGCCCTAAAATCATATATTTAGGAGATTTTGTGATAGTTCAAACTATTTGGTTGTGGTATGAGTACCGTAGAAGTATTTAAAATATACGACATGTAACGCTACGGCAAATTACGATACCATATGAAAGCCTAATATATATGTAATATATTTATCATCTACAAATAACTTTCATTCCTCGTCTGTTTTTTACGAGACAGCTGGAACTCACCATTTATGGTTGTGGTACAAGCATAAAAATTACCATTGTGAAATGCTATTGCAGTACTTGGTCAGATATAAATCTGGTACGTTCCAGCTTCGAAGACTGCACTGTATTGAAAACGTGGCATACAGTAAGAAATCTACTGTGTGCCGGGACAAAAAGGAAAGGAGCTGGCTGACATGTTGGTCAAACCTGGGGTATAAACCTTGCTTCATATTTTTGTTCTACTGTAGATACGCCTGATACCAGCACTAAGGGAGGGTAAAAATAACTTCTGCTTTCGCCTGCCAGGCTTACTGTAATGTTTCTCAGGAAGAGCCCTAAGGGTGTTACTCCCTCCTTGTCTGCTAAAAAAAAGATTCGGCTACTGCCGGCTACTGGTCTGGATCGAATGTGACTATGTTCACTTTAATTTCGAGCTGGAAGCTTAGTTTGAGTTAGAATTGTTATGTGTCATCGCGTGCTAAACATTTTGTTTTCGGTAAAGCAATATTTGCTTCCCACAGCAGCAGAAATTGCCGCAATGTTTTATAAAAGTTTTGCTTATCAATTATTCCCAAAGTTTTTAAGCTTTTGTTTGTATGTACATATGTCCAAATTTCAAATACGTTTATTACCTTAGACTATTTTGAAAATAACGTTGTATACATTAGTGTAAACTTTGTATAAAAGTACCGTTAGGCATCTGTTAATAAACTCTAAGCTTTCTCTGTGTATAAAAAATTTAGCTTTTTTTTTGTAACTGCATTCAAAGTTGCACACAGATTTAGTAACTTAAAAATTAAACTTCAGTAAAATCAAAAATTTTTATAAATCAAATCCCACATATAATTTTAATTGGACGCAGTTCTCATCGTCTCCATGGATGTGGAGAACGTAATTGTGCGCTTAAGTAAGTAGTCGTAGAAATTGATATGATACAATCAACAGCTGCTTTGCCATTGCACATCGAAAAAACATAAAATTTATTCAAAATTTTAATTATCATCCTTTTCATACATTCGATTGCTTTTGCTTTTTCGATAGGCGCATATTTCTGCATATTTGCCTTTCATAGTAGCGTGAATAACACACAAAAAAAAATGTTTTCAAAAAATTAAATTAATGCAAAAGTTATTATTTGTAATTTGTATTTGTTGTTTAAATTAAAATCTTGTCATATTTTAAGATATGACTCAAAATATCTTGGACCAATAACAGAATTCAAAAAAATATTTGTATTGTTTTTAGTCCTTGTCTTGGCCAAATNCAGTTTAAATTTAAATTTTGTTATATTTTAAAATATAAGTGAAAATAACTTGGACAAATAAGAGAATTCAAAAAAATATTTGTATTGTTTTTAGTCCTTGTCTTGGCCAAATTTTAGTGCTACACTTCACGTGGCCGCTCTCAGCTAAGAGAATGTTTAATTTAATTAGCAGAGCTACTACACCCAAAAAGTACAAAGCTTTGCCCAAAGTAGGTTTTATATTTGTACAAAATTTCATTTCAAGTAAAGTTAGTATTCAAAGTGATAATGAAATGTAATGGAATACGTTGCAGTTAGACCACATTCGACGCTGTACATGCATACAAACATACATACTTAGTAGAAGTGTGTGTTTCAGTGAAAACATACCCTTAGGTAAAGGCATACCGCACTTAGAAAAACAAAACTTACTTTTCCATTAACAAAATCCCTATGTATGTATACCGTCTGCTGCACACAGTCTCCACCGCAAACGCACACATACTCACATACATGCATTCAAAACATTTTTACATATTTACATTACCTACTTTGCTTAGATTGCCCTTTTCATATGAAAAGAAAAAATAATAATTTCTACTCTTTAGAATATATGTAAAATGTTAAAAAATTGTTCTGTATAATCATTACAAATACACACATACATACCTTGAATTTACAGTTATAACCATTTATTTTTATTTTTTTGTATTTTTGTTTTTTTTTCCTTTCTCGACTTTTGCGCCCTCTTGCAACTCTTTTATTCGCAGATTCGACGAGTCCAGCTCGGATAAGGAAATTTTGGACTTGTTGCTGGAGAAGAAACGTTACGATAAACGTCTACTGCCGCCTGTTAACGGTGAGTATAGGAGTGTGAGTATGCGTATGTATGTATGTTTAACGCTATATATATAAATGTATGCATTACCTTTCAAACTTACCCATACCATACACATGTATACATACCTATGTACATATGTATGCATATGCGCCATTTTTTCGTGTGAATGCCAGTTATTTTGGAGTGTTCGTTTACTCAGCTGGGAAATTGTACATACATGCTTGTAAGCTTTTCGTTTGGGAGTGTGTGTTTTTTCCTTTTTTTAATTTTCATTTTTTATGCGCATAAATGTACACACGAGACTTGTGCGCATGTAAAGCAGAGTCACAGGAGGTAACTTGTTGGTTTTGTTAACTAAACCGCATCATACAAGTATGTAGAGAAATGCATATCTGTGTGGCAAGAATGAACATTGGTGGGTAATGAAATGCCAAAAAAATCGACATACATGAAAAAATTGCAAAAAAAAAACACATTGCAAAGTCAGAAAATGTCATCTGAAATTGGAGAGGGTTTTCGAAGGACCTAATCAGCCATATGAAAAATATATTTTAACATATAAATAGGAAAGTGTGCGGGAAAAGGGTAAAGCATATTATTACAACAAACATGGAGGAAATCCATGCATATATGTACATTAGGATGGTCCAAAAATACACATGGAAATTAATATTTTGTAACTTTCCTGTGGCTGAGAATATTTCTCCTCAGAAATCTTCAAAAATTAAAATTATGATGCATATTTTTCACAACCAGTAATCTTATTTCACGAACACGTAAATTAAGAAGAAGTAGAATAAGAAAATATCCTATTTTCGTATACAAAAGATAAGATTGTCGGTTATAAAAAAATTATGTAATCCGAGAACTTAAATACTAGAGCGTTTGATTATTCGCTTTTTTTCGAAAAACGGGGTTCGAATTAATCGCAAGATGGCATTTTGTGAAATCTGGTCAACCATTTTCAAGTTCAGAAAAAACCGGATACACCGGTGTTATGTTTTAGCATATTTCCTCTAGAGTAACACTCATAGGGCCTAGGCATATGTTTTTTCTTAAAATTTCAGACCTTTTAACCGATTTGTTCAAATAAATTTAAAAGGAAAGGTATGAAATTTCATTACTTTTTAGAAACTTATTATATATATATGTTTTCTTTATTAATTTAATATTCCTTTAATGTTTAGGTGTTATTTCTTCAAAAAAGAGGAATATTATTATTATTCATTTAATTTTTAGAAACTATTTTTTTTTTTTAGTTAGATTCTGCTTTGATTTTTATTGTTTCAAAATATGTATTCTTTTAAATTCCATTTAATTCATATCAATTTATTTTTTATTTATTTTTTTAATTAAGGTAATTTGTTTTTCTTTTCATTTTTGTATTTTATAGTTTTAAGAAGAAAAATTAATTTTTTTATTTCATTTAATTTTTGAAGCCTTAATTTTTTCTTGTTTTTTTATTACTAAAGGTCTCCTGAAGGCAAACAGAATTTTCGGACAGAAAAATATTGATTTTCAAGAATTCTGTACCTTTTTTACGAAAACTTGGATAAATTTGAGCAATTTGGGCGAAGTCTAAATATTTTTTGATTTCGAAATTAAAAAAAACTTAGGGGTATAATTTGTTCGATGTAGAATAATCCTAGAGGTGAGAGCATTAAAATTCCGACTTTGCTTCTTTGTACCACCCTAATGTACATACATATATCGATGGTCCTCTGCAATAAAAACTCAATTCAAAATTCAAAAGTAAGCAGTAAGGACTGCTAAAGTAAGTAAATTCCCTCACTAAAGTAAGCAGTAAGGACTGCTAAAGCAAGTTTTACTTCAAAAATTCGTTTTCTTCATGAAAAACTTTACAGCTTTCGCGGCACCATTAAGGCCCGTATTCCCCATCTCTGGTTAACACTAATCTCCACTTAAACATCGTTACCAACGTTACCGACATAATGTAATATGCATGGAGTCAGTAACGTCGGAAATGATGTTTAATTGGAGATCAGTGTTCACCAGATGTGGTGAAAACGGCCCTAAGTTTTAATCAGTACCAGAATAAAAAAATACGGGTCTCCTTATTTCCGAAAATCTTCATTTTTAGGGGTGGCTGGAAACATTTTCTTTCTTTTTTTTGACCACCCCAATATATCTGCGGCCTCAAATAGAGCCCAATTTTTACCTCATACAACTTTTCGGTTCTGTTCCGTGTTGTTTTGCATACGAAATCTTTAATTTCATAGAAATACTAGGCATAAACGAGAAAGTTCTATTACTTTCTATTACTATTACTAGAGGTATAAATTAGTGCTGATTTTTAATTATATCCGAAACACTATTAAATATTAGGAATATTAAATGTTTTGAAACAGCTACATTAGGGAGGGCTTTATAATAGCAACATTATGGGGCACCCCTTTATTTAGATCAAAACTTGAAATTTTTAAACCCAATTTTAAAGGTCCTACCAGGGGTTAAAATGATTTTTTTTAATCGCAAAAGCTCGATAATATTTTTACATCGATCGAAAAAAATATTTCTTTATTGTAAATCGCAAATATTTTGACCTCGACCTGTTTATCACTCAGTGAATTTATGATATTACATGAATAAAATTCAATGCGCTCGAGATGAATTTTTGCGACTTTTTTTTAATTAAAAATTTTACAAATCTTGTTTGCGAATTCTAAAGTGTTTTCTTTTAATATTGAAATTTTCGTGTATGTCTTTATTTTGTGCGTAGAACAATATAAAGGGGTGCGCCATACAAAACGCAGATGTTGATATTTTAAGGACCAGCCAAAGATACATACATAATGAACATTTTCCAACGAATTTAATCATATTTAAATTTTACAGATGAAGATTTTTGTTGCGGTTTATCTTCACCGGATATGGCCAAAGTCAGCAACTCAAGGAGGCCACATAACCGCGGTTGGTTTTCTCGAATTCAAATCTGTATACTTCAAAATAAGTTTTTTTTTTTCTTTCAACATTTTGTTGTTCTAGTCATAGGCTAATGGATTTAAGCTATTTCGATTTATTTTACTTTTTTTATTTACTGGAGTACATATTCGCTCATGCAGATAAATTTGGTTGTAGTCTTCTTTTTGTATACATACATGTACGGTGGCGGGCAAATAAATAAGGCCCCGATATTTTAACAAGTTTTTGTAATTTCCCTTTGTTTAGTTAATTTTTATTATTTTTTATAAAACCATGTAAGTGAAAATTTCAAAGGATTGTAAAGGACTTTTAAAAATTCGGCAACTTTTCCCAAATTTTCATCGAAATTTCCCACTTTTTATTCAGAATCTTAAGGCAAAATTCTAGTTATGCAGTTTTCTAACTTATTGAGATAACGGAATGCAATTTTAAAGGAGCTGGTATTTAGTGTTCATGCATTTTCCTCCATATAAAAAAAAATTCCAACATACTTTTTATGGAAGAAAATGGTGACATCCTCAGCAAAAAAAAAAATCCGCAAAAATCAAGGTTAAGTCCCAGCTACTTCAAAATTGCATTCCCTGAATTTAAAATTCGAAATAAAAAGTGTGAATTTTCATGAAAGTTTTTCGAATTTTGCCAATTTTCATACAAAGATTGAAAAAAGGACTTATGTGGTTTTTGTTAAATAGTGCGTTATATTTTTATAAAAATATAATAAATATTAAATAATCAAAATTTAATTAGCATCCCTAGCTTTGCCAGCCACTGTATCCATTTATTTTATTACTATCCATTAATTTCGTCTTTGTTTGATTGTTTTCGTAATTTTTCGTAATTATTGTCAAAAATATATTTAAACAAAATAATACAAAAATAAGCTGTTTCTTCTTAAAATCCTCACCTTTTCAGGTACTTTGACGGTAAATGTGAATGTGTTGCTGCTCAGTTTAGCCTCGCCCGATGAGAGTAGTTTGGTGAGTAACTACTACAATTAAATTTCCTTAAAACACTTCATTCATCTCAAACTTATTCTTAAACCATTCCCATTTCTCTTCTTCCCCTCTCTCCAGAAATACGAAGTTGAATTTTTACTCAATCAACAGTGGAACGATCCACGTTTACAATATGGCAACAAATCGCATTATGACTTCTTGAATGCGTTGCATCATCACGACAGCATCTGGACACCGGACACCTATTTCATTATGCACGGCGACTTTAAGGATCCCATTATACCAATGCATTTTGCTTTAAGAATCTACCGAAATGGGACCATTACGTACGCAATGAGGTGTGTAAATTAATTATACGAGTAGTACTTTTGTATATGCTAAGTAAAGTAAGTAAGTGTTAAGTCTAGCTTGTCATTCTAATGCTCTGTGCCTTTTTAATTTTTTTCAACTTTAAAAAGGAAGCAAAAATTTTAATGCCCACGTCAAAATGGCGTCAACGATGTGCAAGGAAATGTTCGAAAAATGTAAATTTTTCTACGAGTATACCATTTTAGTTTTCAGTTACAAAGTAGAAATAAAATATGAAAATAATACTAAAAGTAGAAGGCTATTTCATTAGCACGCCAACTGGACAAACAAACGCTCGCATTCATAATACATATGTACACAGCGACCACGCGTATCGCACACAATTCTTGGTGGTTTGTTGGCCACCACGGTTGTTCGTGCGACGTCCCGTATTGGACATTTTTTCCGTCACGCATCAAAAATTTTTGAATAAGTAATATTGCGCGCATAGTGCTTTACATAAGTAAATGCAAATGCTGGCGTTACTTACATACTTACTACAGTATGCATTAAAGAGCTGCATGGATGCATTAATAATACTCATTGTCGAATGAGTGAGTGAAGCACAGCAACCAGGAAGTGCTTGATTTAAATAACAAATATCTAGTGTGTACAATTGCGTATATGTAAGGTTGCGTTTCCAGATGCTTTTTGTAAATTTTTTAAACAAATAGTTAAAACATTTATAAGAGTATCAAATAAAATCAAATTGTAAAGATAATTTTTATCAAAAAATACCAACTGTCATATTGTCCTTTCGATCGCTCGACTTGTTTTGCATAACGTGGTTTCTCACTCGCTTGACTTTATTTTGTAAGAGAATTTAATGTTACATTTGAAAGCAAATGAGAAGTGCAATGCATCTTAGCATCGATTTGAAATAACAACGTATGAATCTCACTGCTCACTATATGAGTATATACTGTTTAAATGGCAATGAGTGTACTCATGCTGCTCTCTGATATGTATGTACTACACCGCCATTGGAACTTGATGCCAGTATTTAAGCGTGAATGAAATGGAAGTACTTTATAGTAAAAAGTTCTGTGAAAAAGAATAATGCAAAGAGAGAGAGTATTTAATTTAATACTATTGTAAATGGCACTTCCTTTAATCTAGTGATCCCTATTACTAAATAAAATAAAATATAGATATAATTTTTGGTACTTAAAGTTTCAGGCCTACATAAAAAAGGAATATTTTATAAAAGTTTCTAAGAGTCGCGTAAAACTTACTGAATTAGACACACGCACTCATAATATCTATTAAAATGTCTGGGACAAACCCACAAAAGTCCCGCAAGAATTCAAAAAATCACGGGAAGTTCAAAAGTTCCTAAAAGATAACGAAAAGTTTCAGATGAAACACATGTAGTCAAAGAAAAATACTGAAAGGCCCAACAAAGTCTCAAAATTTTTAGAAAATCCCCAAAATATTCGAAAAGGGTTCGGAAACATTCCCAAATTCCTGCAAAAATCCGAAAAACTTTAAAAAATCTCTAGAGATCGCTAAAAACCTGTGGAAACTTTAATAAACACGAANAAAGGGTTCGGAAACATTCCCAAATTCCTGCAAAAATCCGAAAAACTTTAGAAAATCTCTAGAGATCGCTAAAAACCTGTGGAAACTTTAATAAACACGAAGTATTTCCTGTATTTGTCAATGTTATTGTGGCTTCTTAACATTTTAGTTTTAATATTTTTATTGAGCTTTGTACCACGATTGTTTATTAGGAAAAATTGAATTGTATTTCCTATTTTTAAACCAAGATGGAAAATTATAAACAATAATTATCCGTTTGTTTTTCAAACAAACTTAAGGACCGAAAATACTATTTTAATATCGGGATTGCAAAATGGTTGGGTTTAGATTTTTGCATAAAGCGTAATCGTTAAATTTGGCCCTCTTTCGTTTGGCACCCATGTATATATATGTATATAGCATTTAACCTTTTTATAATTTTTTTTATATGTACTTATAAACAGGTAGTAACCCTGCTTACAAAGTTTTCTTAAATATCTTGCTTTTGACATACATATTATATATATTTAATATTTTATTTAGCTTTTTAACTAAATGGAATCAGACTTTTAAACAGCTGGTAACCCCCTTTCAAATTGAATTTGAATTAAAGCTTTTCTAAACCTCGTTCAATTGACATTCATCTTGAACTTTTTTATTAAATTCAATATGAATTTTCCACAGATGGAAACCCTCTTCAATTATACTTTCGAAATAATTATTTCTTAAACCTGTTTCGTTTGTCACCAATATTGTAATATTTCATTTTACCTATTAATACAAATGAATTTAACTTTTAAAGAGGTGGCAACCCCTTTACAATATTTTCGAAATAAAGCACTCTGAAATTTCTTTTATTTTACATACAATTTTTAATATTATATTTAAGGTAAATATTGATTAAATTGAATTTTACCGTTAAAAAGGTGGCAATCATCTGCAAAAATATTTTCAAAAAAAGCTTTCCTAAACCTGTTTCGTTTGATATAAATATTGTAAAATTATATTAAACTAATTGATAGAAATGAATTTGACTTTTAATCAGGTGGCAACCCCTTAAAAACTGTATCAAAATAAAGCTCTCTGAGCATTCTTTTATTTGTCGTACAAATTTTAATACCAAATTTACCTTATTGAATAAATTAAATTTATCTATTAAAAAGTTGGCAACCCTCTGCAAAAGTATTTTCGAAATAAAGCTTTTTAAATACGTACCCTTTAATATCCATGCTTAAATATTTCATTTAGCTTGTTGATTTTATTGATTCTGAATTTCTTAATATATAACAACCCTTTTAGAAAATGGAAACAAGAAATAAAGACTTCTACACTCTTTCCGATTATAAGCTATGTTTGTGTGTACATTTATTAACAGCTTTTATTTAACCTATTAATAAATTAAGTAATATTAATTGATTTTGACTTTTTGAGCAGTTGGCAATCTTTTTATATTTTTGAAATAAAGATTATTTAAACCCCTATCGTTTGTACAAGCATCACAAAATTTTTTCGTTACCTTGTTAATTATATTAATTTTGATTACAGATGGCAACCCCGTTCAAAATATTTTCATAAAAATACTTTATTTCTCTCTTCTTTAATAATCGTATTAAAATATTTCGCTGAACTTGCTCATTAAATTGATTTTGAATATCTAAACAGGTGGCAGCCCTCCTAAAAATATTTTTGAAATAAATTGTTTTCAATTGATTTTAACTTATTTAACAGGTTAGGAATCTCTTTCTAAAATACCGTATTTGTTAATCACGGTCATAAGCTATTTGTATGCCCAGCTGTAGCAAATCCGCGCAGCCGTTTTAACGTGAAAGAGCAACCAACATGCTCACACACTTATTCACTAACTTTCATATGTAGGCCACCACGTCGTATGAGTAATATTAAAATGTATGCTGCAGCTGTTAGACGCAGAGAACCACTTCAATGATTTCAGTTTTCTCAAATACATAGAAATAAAATACATACATAAATATGCGCTCCACTATTATTAGTCATTAGGTCATTCATCTCTATTTCGTTTTTCTTCATTACAGACGCCATTTGATCCTATCCTGCCAAGGTAGTCTGCACATATTCCCATTCGATGATCCAAAGTGCTCCTTCTCAATGGAAAGCAGTAAGTAGAAAATAAAAATAATTTAAGTGTGCAGAGCAATTATACTTTATAAATTAAAAAGCAGGCAACGTGAACAAATAACAAATTTATTGATGCGTTTCTCAACCAACAACATGCATATGTATGTACATACTTTATCATCCTTTCATCTTTACCACATTTTCACTCGTATTTCAATATTTTTTAATGCATCTCTATGTATAGGTTAAAGAAATGTATTGTTTGATATTAATTAAAATTAGCACAGCAATAAATAGTAAATTGCCAGCTTTTGTACGATACAAGAACAAAAAAAAGCAAGCAAAATAAAAAACAAACAATAAACCTAACAACAGCAAGAACAACAACACAACACAATAGCAACCCGTAGCATCAATGAAAATCGGCATTTAAAAGGTGACTTGGGAATGGCAAGGCAATTCATTTGCTCATTCATTCATTTATTTCCGCCAACGCTGGTTCAATGCAGCATTCAACAATATGTACATACATACATACACATACGAATAGTCCTAGCGCATGCCACACAATACAATACAATACAGGGTTAATAACTACAAGAGAGCAGGCGGCTGCAAGTTTCTTTTGTTTGTGCTCGAAGAAAAGCTAGAGGAAGCGTTCTTTTTTTTTTGTCTGTCATTTGCTGTGCTCCTGCAGGCTATTGGCATGGATATTTACGAGCCGCAGGCGCTCAATAACAGCCGGTAGCTTAAAACGGACTGTTGCTGCACTTCGTTCGACCTTTTTTACTTCATACCCTGGCGGCAGCAGCTTCGATTGTTCTGCGGCTCCTAACTATTCAGCTGGTTGGCACCAGCTTTGTTGCTTCGATGCGGCGCGCTAATAACCAATACATAGTTTATTACATTGTTGGCTTACTTATAAGGAATTTTAATTTTTTTTTATTTATACTTTGATGTGCTCATATGTACACCTGGAATTTTTAATTTAAAACAAATAAACTTTTAGTTTATATCAATTGAATTAAATATTTTTCACTAAAAAAGTTATTTATGTAACTGTGCGAGGCGCGTTTGAATACCATAACAGCGATGAGCGAAGCCTCATTAGGGCTGGAAGTTCTGTCTGGATTTTTAAACATGCGGATAATTCGTTTATACGAAAATTCGAATATCTGTTAAAAAATCCGAGTATACGGATATCCGGATATTAACTAGATTTCCGAATAACCGGAAAACAAAATGAACGACTCTTAATCGAATATCCGTAAAGCAAAATTAACGAATATTAACCGGATATCCGAGAGCAAATTAATGTATATTAACCGGTTGTACGGATAGAAACCGAATATCTGCATGACAAACTAGAACGTTTATTAACCGAATATCCGAACAGCTATGGTCCTCAGCTGCATGAGATCTTAGTGCTTTATAAATATCTACATTTTTCGATTGGAACAAGCTCATAAAATGACATTTATAGTCGCCAGTAAGTTAGGACAAAAAAAAATTATAAACTCAACATTTCTCAATAATATGGCCGGTTTAAAAATGTTATGTCAAATTATTTTTGGTTTTTCATTTCACAGTTTCCTATGAGGAGGCCCAAATCAAGTATGTTTGGAAAAATGACGAAGACACGCTGCGAAAGAGCCCATCTTTAACTACATTAAACGCGTATTTAATAAAAAATCAAACAACACCCTGCGACCAAAATAGTTGGCGAGGTGAGTGGGTCGAAACCAAATATGTATTGATATTATATCTATGTATTAAGTAGAACCTTTTTTTTTTGCAAACATTTGTGTAGCTATTAGAAATTGTATGCGTAAATTAATAGAGATGTTAAGCGCAATATTTTTTTTATTTATTTATTTTTTTTGTTTTATAAATCTTTACAAGTAGTTCAATATAATTTGACACCATTTCTATATGCATTTATTTTTATTAAACGTCTGGTCAGTCTTTCGTGTTCAAACAAATATCTGAGGAGCATGTTAGGTGTGTGCTACAGTAGGAACAATGAAAAGTGAATGCTGTTTTAAATAGCATTACATTTGATTTTGTCTTTATTTAAATTTTTTTACACTCAGTAGGTACTTAGGCAGTTGAAATTACTACCTCAAGTTGACCTTTATTCAAACAAAGATTACTGTAATATTCGTAGTAAATTAACTGTAAAAGTTTCATTCGTATTTGCCGGAGCTGAAATCCTCGCTAGTTAGGAGTAATTTACTGTGTAATTCATTCTACAGTATCTGAGAAATACAAATGAGTAGAAAGCACTACATACAAACTCTTCCTTTCACTTAAAGACAAAAGGTACGACCGAAACTAAATGCCATTCTCGTAGTTTTGTTCCCAAGAACACTTTAAAACCGAAACCGTAATGAGAACAAAGCTGTCGAGGACTTTCTCAATGGGATTTATGGAACAACAAAACCTCGCGGAACGTTACCAAAGAGAACAAAAGTGCGAACAATACTTTCGTGAACAAAATGGGAACAAAAGTCTCCGCAACGTTTTAGCAAACAACAAAACGAGAACAAAAGCCTAAGGAACTTTCTCTCTAAGAACAATTTGGGAACTAAAGTATCAGGAACTTTCTAGCAGAGAATAAAACGGGAACAAATTTTCTCTTAACTATTCAAGAAGAATGGAAGCAAGAACAAAATTTTTCTCACAGCATGCCATTAGTGTGAAATGTGTGAATATTAAAATCAATCAAAAAAGAACTAACAAATAAATATGCAATAAAGTCAACGAAAAGCTTAAGATATGACCTTTTCTTGCACAGAAAATGAAAAATTGTTCCATAAATAGACAGTTCGCCTTAAGTTCTCAAAACGTTTGTTCTCGTTTTGTTCTCTAGCAGAACGTTTCCCTGATGTTTGTTCTTATTTGATCCTACTTGGAAATGTTCCCGATACTTTATTTTTCTTTCTTTGTTCTCATTGGAAACGTTCCCGAAAATTTCATACTCCTTCTTTTCTTCTTGTGAACGTTCCCGAGAGTTTTGTTAGTAGTTTGTTCTTTACGGAAATGTTCCCGAACCTTTTGTTCTCATTTTGTTCCCGTTTAAACTGCTCTCAATAACATGTGGTCAATTAATTAAGTTAGCGACATGTTGACCACTTTTGGCTTAATATTTTTTAGTACAACACTTCAAACTTTCTACAAAAATTACCAAATTTCAACAAGTTTTCACTAAAATTTTAGATTTTTGATTCTGAATTTTTAGAAAAATTTTAAAGATGCATTAGATTTTAATATAAAAAGTGCACGTTTAAATCGACAAGAAATTCGCGTTGATTTTAAAAAATTTTTTTTTTTTGCTAACAACAACAAGCAACGGTAAATCCAAGCTACTTCAAACTTTCACTTTTTTATACTAAAATTTAATGAGCTAGAAAACTGCATACTCCAAATCATTCTTTGAAATCAAATTAGTAAACTCGAAATTTTTATGAAAATCTGTTAATTTTTTCTTAATATTGCACAAAGTTTGACACTTGGATTTACACGGTTTTTGTTAAAGAATAAACTATATTTTTTTTAGTAACTTCAATTATAAAACAAAAGAAAATGGTTAAAACTTGTCAGTATTTGGTGCATTTACAATATTTACACGGAGTGTATACTAAGCTTTTATGTACGGGTACATCATAATTTACTATGACGAAAATTCAGTCGGAACTTTCATCTGGTACTAAAGCTAACTTTGAAGGTACATGTAGTTTTAGTTGAGAGTCTTGCCCGAAAATCGTATCTTTAGTGGTTAATTTTAAAAGATTTTTGATGCCAGCTTAAAGCTTTAAGCTTTCGATATACTGCCAAAGCGAGTTAATATAAATGTTTAATTAGAAACAAATTTTATTACTTGTTTTTAAGCATAAAAAAAATTACTAAGGATCATTTTGGAATGCAGCCTTTCTTACAACATCGGTAGTATTTTTTTATCTCTTAGAATAACTCTGTAAGTTAGAAAAATTAAAGCTTTATTCCATCTCAAAAAGAAGCTTTCATGAAAATACCGAGCACTATGGGGGAAGGTTTTGCTGTACTATTTAGTGTGCGAGATGCAAGTACAAAAAGAAAAAAATTTACTAAAATATAAAGCAAAGATTTTCTGTGCATTTTGTATAGACGAGTATAGAACAATAGGTCGCAGTTGTCAAAACCAATAAAAAGCCTGCATTTTTAAATCTAGCAGCACAGTTGAATGTGGTTAATTTTTATTTTTTCCTTAGACAATTTTTTTTTTGTTTTTTTTTTCTAATTTTTAAATATGTGCTTCTATTTGTGTTAGTACTTTTTTAGCTAATATTATTCGTATGTCTATATAATATACTTACTATATATATACTAGATATTTAGCAATTTTACTTATCAGTAGTTTCCAAAATTGCCTGCGTGCCTCAAAGCCTTTAGTAAATTTTTTTCTTATAAAATTCGTGTTGAAAAAATATTTGCATTGCTAGAAAGTATGCAGTTAGATTGAAAACTTTTGACTTCCCATACCACAAAATAAGTATATAACTGTCTATATATCTATTTAATATAACTTTTAATAAACTTCACTTGTCCATATGTTTATACCAACGAGAAAAACTATAATCACCATTGTAGGGAACTACAGCTGTCTTAGGGTCGATTTAATATTTACCAGAGATCGTGCATTCTATTTCACCACCGTTTTTATACCTGGCATTATCCTGGTGACGTCATCATTTATAACATTCTGGCTAGAATGGAATGCAGTTCCGGCTAGATCAATGATAGGTAAACAAACCAAAATCAAACCAAATCAAATCGTATTAAAAAAAAATACATATATTTAACAACAACAGCAACCAAAATGCAAAACAAAAACTATCCACAACTACTCAATCAACCGCTAAGCCCATTCATGCCATAAATGAATTTAAAACCAAATATATACATATATATAAAAACTTTAATATAAATTAAAACAACCCTTTTTTCGTCAAACATTTAATTAAAAATTATTTGTTTGCTTTTATAAAAGAAATTTTATTTGTATGTAGTATACCAGCTAGCTTTGCTATTCAAAATTCATTTTCTATAATTTTGAATGCTCGAACTGGTTATTTGCTACACATTTTACACCCCTAACTTCACTTTGAATAAACTCACCACAGTACCAGCTAAAATTATGTAGTACGTTTTTAATATTCATAAACAGTAGTTTTGCATTTTTTCGAAATTTTTGGAATATTAATATCTTCGTAATTATTTCTTAAAAATTTGAATTACAGTAATTTTCTTTGATTTATTGTTGAGTAATTTGTTTGAAAATTTGCTAATGCCACATTAATTTCAAAAAAGTGATTCCCACCTGCCCTCGAAACAAACCCAAAAACACATACATATAATCCTAGCCCGTACAAACGCTCGTCAGCCATATCTGCATTCTGCAAGGCCATCCCTACTATTTTTGCCTGAATATGCTTTACACAATTTGGAAATAACATTACAGTTAAGTGATTCACAAGTTGTCGTAAATGGTCGTATTTTCATAAATTTTATATAAGGTTATTTTTGAGTGATTTATGACTTTATGACACCATGTTAATCACCCAAGTATGTGTATTAGGGTAGTCCAACATTTTTTTCAGCCTCCCACAGAGCTAAAGAATGACGAGAACAATGTTAATCGGTTAACATTGAACCCGGCCACCGTGGCTCTTAAATTTTGCGTGTATTTACATAAGTAGTTTACTTAGAAAAGATACCGTTTTTTCTTAGAATTGCTATAAATTGTTAAAAATAAATGTTTTTTGCTCAAATAAAAAGATTATCCTTCAGAAATATTAATTTTTCCCTTGTTTTTTATTTTCAATAATTCTGTGGGTGACAGCAAGAAAATTCCAGCCAATCAATTTTCCTGCACTTTTGGACTACCCTAATATTAATATTTTTTTAATTATTTTTCAATTAAATTGGCGTAAAAATATCAACTGCCTGGTATACATTTTTCGTAAATAATTTCATTTGTTTGACAGCAATTAATTAGTATTTACTCGTGACTCATATTTACGCAATAAATTTGTTGGTTTTTTTGCAGCCAGTTTACATTTTTTCATTCTCGTACAAAATCTTGCCTTTTGTACATTTATTTCGTTGACATGCCCTTATATCTCATGATTAATAAATAAATATATTACACGTTTGCTACTATTAGAATTAGTATCGTCACTTTCATGGAAAAATAATGCGAAATATATTTGCATTTACTGCATGCCAAAAAAATAAATATTTAAAATTAAATCACAAAACCTTTACAAATTGAAATTTTCAGTTCTAGAATCCATAATGCCGAACTGTAGCTAAGTAGTAATAGTACATACATATATTTAAAAGGTTCTTAGTTAAATATGGTAAGGAAGTGTTAACAGCGGAAGACTGCCCCTACTAGGGACTAAGCACATGTCAAAAGACCGAGGAATAATTTAATTTAGGTTAATCGTAAGATATCGTATATAATTTGTCTATGTGAACAAAATGATAAATTATTAAAATTTAAGACATAAATACAGTGACTCAACTCTTGATTGGAAAAAATATTATGGTGGACCAGTTAGATAACTTCCACTACCTCCATTAACATTGAAGTAGTGCCAGGGAACTTTAGTTAGTTAAATGGAGATTTCAGCTGCTATACATACAAAGCAATATCGAAATTTTGTAGAAGATCAAACAGATACCTCTCTCTAAGAATTTGGCGATTTATACAAAAGAGAAGTTGAGTCACTGTGCATGCTCAAAATCACTTCACCGCGCAGCAAGCTTTCGTTGAAGTATTTATTTTAACTCAACGAATTTTCACTGCTGAAAGCTTTCAAGCGCACAAACTTTCATTTCATTGTGTGCGTCCTCGTTTGTGGCTTTCACACTCGACTTCTATGTACAATGTCTCTTGTCCTATATGTGCATATATTTTATTTACATATGTAAGTCTTTCGTCTCGTCTATTGCATTTACTGCAGAAAAAAAAATACATACATATTATAAATAAATGCATAATGTGTCTTAAGTGTTCAACGTCTATGCCAGTAATAAAAATTTAATAGTTTTAGTCCAAAAAAATAACTGAATTTACGTTACTTATAAAAACCATCTACTTAACTACNTCACACTCGACTTCTATGTACAATGTCTCTTGTCCTATATGTGCATATATATTATTTACATATGTAAGTCTTTCGTCTCGTCTATTGCATTTACTGCAGAAAAAAAATAAAATACATACATATTATAAATAAATGCATATTGTGTCTTAAGTGTTCAACGTCTATGCCAATAATAAAAATGTAATAGTTTTAGTCCAAAAAAATAACTGAATTTACGTTACTTATAAAAACCAACTACTTAACTAGTTAAATAGTTTAATAATGTTAAATAATTTGCACAAAAGCCAATTTGGCATTCTGTACTATGTTGTATGTTGTATTTCTTTCCTAAAGGTAATTACAGTTGCCTAGAAGTCGAGTTGACTTTTACCAGGGACCGTGCATATTATTTCACCACTGTTTTTATACCCGGCATTATATTGGTGACATCATCATTTATCACATTTTGGCTGGAATGGAATGCTGTGCCAGCCAGAGTTATGATCGGTATGTAAAAATCCTAATAAGTTTAGAATAAAAAAAAAATGTATGAATTGACATTTAGAAATAATATTTAAAAATGTAGTTATAGTTTACGTCAAAAGAATGTCGAATTGGGTTTTAAAAAGGTTATGTAATTAAGAGGCTGATGCCAGCAAAGATTTATAGTAGATTGAACTTTTGTAAGATGAAAAACTTAGACTAGAGTTCAGTATTTTACCCTGGCTCAGCTTTTACATTGTATTATCAGCATAAGGACCGAAGCCAGTGAACCTATGATCAGTAATCCAGACTGCTTCTCCACATGTTGCCTTTAATCTCGATGTCCCAGTACTTTTATAACAGTCAAAATTTCTGTAAGAAAATACTATCAAATATCACATAGTCCCACTACTAGAGTTTAAGAGATCCCCTTATTATTATCTTAACAGATCATAAATCTCTCAAATTATTCCATCCGAATTTCAATCCTATGCTATGCGCGTTCAATGTATTATTGTTAAAAATGTGGAAGAAATAAAAAAAAACACGAAGAATCTACCTGAATCTTTAGATTCGTAAGCTCTTTATTGACATGTTAGAGTATATTAAAAATACAAATGTTCATATGAGCAAATCTCACGAGTTCGGTGCATAGCTTTTTTTGTGGTGGGTGTAGTTCTTCTTATTAAAGTATCCTTTTAGATGCAAATGAGCGAATCTCTGATGACGATGATTTTTTTTTTTTTTTTTTTTTTTTAAAGCAGAATCGATGTTTGGATCACTTTAACGCGTTACTCAACTCAATTTAAACAAAAAACATTAAAATATCACCAATAATTGCTCTCAGAGATCTGCATCACCTTTTATCACAAACCGAACGAATTGATGGCTCACTTTAGCTAAATACTCTCTATCCAGCATGCCTTTTACGCGCATTTCCTATGTCCAAGCTAGAATTGTTGTTTGAATATTAAATATCAATCATTTCCTTTTTGTTAGGAGATCCAAGGTTTCCTGGCTAGAGTCGGTCCATGAGCTAAACTAGTTTACTGATACTTCCTATTGTCGAATCGGTTCTAGAGAACATCTTGCTGAGCCCCGATGCCTCATCTTTTGTGTAGCATGTTTCCGAAAATGTCTGCTTGTAGACTTTTCTGCGGCACAAAGACGACTCTTTTAGTCGTTTAAGCTTATCCTAAGTTTAGTTTTTGAGTCCTCCTCGCACCAAACTTTATTTCAATGTAAGAATCGATGATTTTTGCAAAACGGAGACTGTAAGGCCCTTTTATTTATAACTGTTATTTCAAGAAAGCTCCTTGAGGCTGAGAATATTTACAAAAAAAAATTTGTGACTTTATTTATCCAAGTTATTTATTATCTTCATTAGGTCAAATTTCAAGCTATTTTTGAAATCCATTTTTTTATATCCTAGAGGAGGTTTAGAACTACAAAGATTACTAATTTTTAAGCTTTTTTGATGCAGTTTTTTATCAAATATTTGTGCATAGATTGTTAAGAAGGTATAAGCTTTGAAGATGGTAAATATTGGAAAGTTATTGCTCGTTTATTATAAAGTGTAATACTTAGTTTTAAAAAAATATTGCAGCATAATGAATTTTCGAGGGTGTATGTATTTATATGTAGACTTTCAGCTGAAAAAATTTAGTTACATTTATTTATTTAGGCATTAAATCAACGTCTGCAGTTTAAAAAAAAAATTGGTAAAAATCCCCCTATTTATTTATTTAAGGATTTTCAGTTTTAACAACATCACATTTTATAGCAGCACTTGTGCGATACTTTGCATGCATAATTTAATAGCTTTTAATATTTTGTATTTTTGCGCTTTTACTAGTAAAACTAACTGACACTCGAACGCACACACACACACACACACATACGCATAAAGGCAGTAAAAATTAATTTCATTTTTTCACATTTGCTACTCACTTTCTCTTAACATAAAAATAATTCACTATGAATATGTAAATATGCAAATCATAACATTGGATATTAAGTTTTGGAATTACATATTTATTTAAACTGGTATGTTAAAATGATAAAACAACATCACATTGAGAATTAAAACTGTTAAAGAAAAAAATAAATACTAATCATTAAAAATCCGCAATTTGCACACACACAAAAACCACAAAATGAAATCCA